CTCAGTCCTCATATCAGGATAAGCATGAGACACGTGATTGAGAGCTGCCTTTACACTAAGTTCCGGTTAACGTTTTTTTGGCATCGATGTTTGAAACTAATCATGAGGACTAGATATAAACCTGCTCAAACATTGCTTCTCCTCTCATGATGTTAAGCAGCTCGTTCTCAGAATTTGCCTTCACCAGGCCCACTTCATAATGCTTCAGACTACACTCTGTTTCCGCCCATCGTTGACTCAAACGGTACATAGGACCAAACCACATGACTTCACTACTTCCTCTTGATGGTCAAAGGTTCCAGTAAAAACCCAAAATTCTTGCTTTCCTCGGTTGCAAGAACATGTTCAAAGACAAGCTAAAAGTACCGAATTGCCTGCTTCGTTCACTGCTTGAAGCAAGGTATCGAAATCTAGGCGTAACACGCGACTTATAAGGTTGCTGAAAACTGTTTGATGGCCTTTGATCTGTATCACCCTTCTGCTTTGGGCTCATCAGGAAGCCATAATTTAAGAGTGCCCGTCCAACTTACGTTCTAATGGACTTTTGTTGTGGAAGAGTTTTCAGCGACCGTAAGAGTAGTGCATTACGTCTAGACAATGTAATCGATACCTAATATATTGTATCAACTGAAACCTGAGGCAGTCTTGTGTGGCATATCCAATTGGATCCGCTAGAGCCATCCGTCAGAACCAGATTCTTGTGCACGTGATAGCATGAGGTGATTTATCGATAGTTCTGAAAACAAGTAGGCCTGGTTGTTGGCAGTTGGATGGCGAACGTTTTATCACCAATCGAGTGGACATCGTCCGTGCGGTGAGGAACGGTGAGATCAGACAGGTATGCTGTCACACTATCCTAATGTTTCTAGCTGATCAACGTGATTTCCGCATCAAAACCGGAACGAAGGTGATGCCATCCCATTTGAACAGCTGGACTCAGAATCACTGTTGCAATTCGCAGCTTGGGATGCACTATACCCGAGAAACTTTCGGACAAAAAAATTTAATAAAGTAGGGGGTTTTCTCATGAGATCTTTGGCGAATACACTTCTCGAAAGAAGTTCTGTGGAGCGGAAGCGACCGGACAGAAATTTGTTTAAAACATACAAGAAGCGATCCGTTCATTTAAGGGCCCCCTAGTGCGTTGGGTGATGGCTCAAGTGGTTAGAGCGCGAATTTACTGACCGGAAGGTCCGTGGTTTGAAACCGATATCTGCCTCTCCACTTCCCCTGTCTGGGCTTGGTCAACGCGGCAGTATCCCAGCCCTCGTGCAACCTTCGGGTGGTATGGCAGTTTGGCGCCCAAAGGGTGCTACAGCCGAACGAAAAAGAGGACACTAGTGCGTTGGAAATTGCCAAACTACTGATACTCTATCACCTTGCCAACCGACTCCGATTAGTATGGAAACCAGTCACTCGTAACCGTTCCAAAAAACTAAGCATGTACACATTACATTACCCGGACAGTGATTTTGTGGTTGAACAGGTGATTCCAGGAACCCTGAAAATACGGGCGATTCAAGTGACTCACTTGCATTTGTGTACACTGTGGGTATTACATATCAGAACAAATATTTATAGTACTAGCAATCGTAATAGTGATAACGAAAAAACGGTCCACACTAGACAGATATAACTTGTTTTTGTCCAACGAACACGAGAAATCCTTTATTGTTCTTCCTGAACATACTATTTTCTTCTGTCACGTTTAAAATCATTTTCAAATTTACTAAAAAAGCCAATGTTTTTAAATCAGTACTACCTTAGTTCGAGCCTGACCACTAAAATTGGAAAATCGTCAGTAGTACTCCTAGCCAAGTGAAATTTTCTCAACAGTTTTTCGGATTATTCTCTCAGAAGTGTTTAGACGCAGCGCAAAAAATGATTTTGGTCGGGTCATTTTGCGCTCCTTCCTCTCAGTGTTTAACAGTTTTTGAACGTTTCCTTTTAACTTCTACTTTACGGGCAAAAGCTCGAGTTATGGACAAGTTGACCGCCAGGACGTAGCACGATATGTCGACCAAGATCCGAAAACGATTTCACTCATGATTCTACAACTTCAATGATTCGTTTTTTCTTCAAGTTGAAAGGAGAGAACTCCGTCATTTAGCAGTTCATTGTCCTTACATAGGATTCTCGGCCTGCCCAAGACGTGTGGTCCACTTTAGTGGATCGTCCCCTGATCGTTTTAAAACTTTCGTCGAAGTAAGTGGCTGGGTACCACTTGTTAAAAAGTCTAATTCGTCTTTTATTCAACTCACGGACAAAATGCATACTTTTTTTATCACGTTCAATTGCTCTTATTTCATTGACTACTCAAGGAATTCCCTCTTCTCGCCTTACGTTTTGATATCTCTAAATGAACACATTGAGGCAAGTTGCTGAACTTGTGAATGAACTCTTTTAGTCCGAAGTCCAATCGGGTTCACCTTCTCTGTAGTCACGCCACCGGTATTTGCTGATACACATTCGAACTTGTTACTACCTTTCTCATAGTCTGATGATTAGGTTTTGACCTGCGGAAAAAGAAACGCATACGGCACTGCGAGATTCGTGTTGAAAGATATAAGTGCAGAAAAACGACGCTTATGCTATGTATTTATACGTATACTGCAGACTGCATATCGTTACGGAACTTACTAGAAATTATCTTCTGTGGATAAATTACTTTGGGAAAGCTAGGGTGAAAATTCAACCCCGTGAAAAGCCTATCTTTCTCTCATTCGATTGTTCCCGTCACCCAGTGTTCTCGTTGTCAGCCGTATAACGGATGGCAATATTGGTAACGGTGTGGAATATAGGTGTAACGGTGATACTGCTGATGGGGAGGCACGCGAGTAGTATGTGTTGTTCGTGGAATTTCGCTTTGCGTCTTTTGAAAAGGGAAGATCTGTTGTGAAGTCGCTTTGTAACATTTGCTTGGATTTGAGCGATGAATGATTGGAGTCCATGAATATCCAGGAAAGTTCAAGAAGACGCGTTCGGGAGAAGATGGATGTCCAGTTTTTGTAAATAAGATGCAAATGAGAGTTTTGCTTCCCTGTCCAACGGTCTGTAACTAGTCAGTTGGCGTTTCCTAATAAATAAATCCGTGGAGGCTTCCTTCCTTCCATAGGTAGCTAGGGAGCGCTGATAGGTTGTTGATCTGTTCGCCGAGGTTGGCATTTGGATTGCAAACGTTTCATCACCGTTCGTCAGTGACTCAACACCGCACTGACCATGTCACCTCGATTGGTGATGAATCGTTTGCAATCCAATTGCAAAGCCCAGCGAACAGACTAACAACCAGATAGCAATATCTTCAGTGGAAATATTGTCCTCTAAGTTACTTCAGTCTATGCTAAAAGACCAAGAAACACTGTAGAGTTGCTTCATACTTACTGGGAGTCTTCAGCAACGCGCATCTCTCAAAACTCATTTGAAAGGGCGAAATATCGTTTGGGGATTACGAAAACAGTGATTTCAAACTGTTTTCTGCCGCCTGCATTTTGCGACATTCAAAGGAATTTGTTGGTGTTTTGAGTTCTGATTCTTTTTGTGGCGTACGTTTGTATCCATAGCATGTGTGACATTAGGCTTCGTCAAAACCTCAAGGTCTAATTTCTTATTCCAGAGCACAACCTAGCCATTTCTCGCATTCCCATCCAGCTGGGGATAAATCTTGGAGCCGGTGACGATTTGAAGCAACTGTGCCTGGGGTTTGATATACTGCGGCAGAATTCGTGGAAGAGGATAATAAGACATCGGAACGTTTTCCATTTCCACAGGGCATAAGGCCGTAATGTTTATATGGAGATGAGGGCAGAAGAGAAGACGTACTCTCAATGAACTGGCTAGTCTTCGGGTTCAGAGAAAGCTACTAATCAAATAAGTTCGTTACCGGTATCTGATGAAGAACAATACAGATCGGTGTAAGCGACTGGTGTGTTTTTAGCATCATTTTTCGTACTACCAGAGTGAACCTGTAAAAATATTTGATCCTGATGATGTTTATCGATCCATAAGTAACCAAGTGATGAGACTTTGCTGTTCACCTTGTTTAAACTGACCAGGTTGTTTTATGATGGTCATCTTGGACGCCAACTTCGATTTACATTAATTCTATTCAAACAAGCACTCAATGATACACAAGGTCTTATGTAAACAGAGTTCTTAAGTTGGGCGGGTACGTACGTGGGCATACGTGGTGGTACGATGATTCAAGAGAATCGTTAGATCACGTGTCATATTGATCTTGTTCACATGACTAATCTTCAGCAGGAATTGTCGAGTAATCCATTGGTGTAAACGTTTATTCGATGGCGCGGATTGCGAGTACCATAGTAACGCATCTGTATGCTTTCATAGCCCTCGAATTTGACGACCTAACAGTCGAGAACTACTGAAATAAGCGAACTCATACTACTGACATGTGAAGGGGTCGTATCTGCCACGGCGAACTTTAAAATGAAGGCACTTATGTTGTACAGTCATATGCAAACCAATTTGGTTTTAATGATGTACTCAACTGAATCCCTCGTTTATGATATTCTTCAGCCGACATAAGCTAGTTGCACTTGGTAAGATGTTCGACATGTTGAGGCATTACAGAATATCAAGGACGAGAGAGTCAGCTGGAATTCCTCTGAATCTCCGGGTGCGACCAAACTTTCTTGTCACTGAGTGCATTCCACACATTGTATATAATTTTGGTTCAAGTAGAACATAGAGTTGGCGACACCTCGGAGACTGTGCTTACCAACTTCGGTGAAATCAACCATGAATCGTCGAGGAGATTTCAGCGATCTTACGAAAATTTTCCCTCAAGCAGATGGTCCTTTTTTCTCTGGAAAGCTCTCAGTAGTAAAGTACTAGTAATAAAGTGCAATATAATACACGAATAAAAAAGTAACATTAGTATCTGCAATAATTTGATACCTCTCCTTTTAAATGGAGTAATTTGATGCACAGTTTTCTCCCTAGCTCACACATAACTACGTTTTTCTGCTTCCGCCTCATAGAAAACGCCCTCGACCACCACGCTAGTCCCAGGAATCACGAAACCGCACGGTATGGCTCCGTTGGACTTGCTCACTCGTTACCCAATGAGATCCTGGTTAATGGAACGCTTTTCACCAATCAGCATCCAGGTTGATCGATATATCAGTCCAATGTGGCTGCCCTTTTCCCTGATTGGCTGCACAGTGTGCGCCATTGTTTACGGTCTGTCACACTGGCGACCCGGAGGTCTACAATCCCCTGGAAGGATTGTTCCACACAACAATCCGACCGCCGTGCGATCAGTATATTTGACTGCCCTGGCAAGTCTCTATCTCGTTCGTGCATTCGTGGTAATACTGATTGATCTGGACACAGCATGGGATACAGGTTTGCTAGCATGGAATCAACTTTCCTGCCCCCTTGTCCATTCGTTGAGCACAGCAACCAAACTTTCAATCACACTGATCATATTAGCCCTGACCATTGACGTGTTAGTAACACTTTATGAAAAAAGTTTGACCTCAGCGCTGGCGTTCCTTCGCTTCCTGTTCACTCGCGGACAAAGTCGCAAGGCCGTCCACATCACAGTCGGACTAATTGCAACTTGTGGTCTACTTGGACTAATTGAAACAGCTTACTGGCGAGTACAATACTACTTACCCAGTTTCGTACCGGGCATCTCGACCGGCTTGAACGCACCAACACTACCTTGGGCTCGTTGTGAGGTAACGGGGCAGTTTCAATATCTTTTCAGTGCCAAGTTGCACAAACTTACTGTTTTCGGACAGTTGGATGCGGCTGGACAGCACGAAACAAGCACTCGCCTGGCTGCAAGCTACGCCGATTACAAATGGATCAGTGGAATCACAGTGGAGTGTACCCTGGCCTTGACGGCTATTGTACTTTCCCTGGCAATTGCTCGTGCCCAGCTGATGGATGACATTCTGCTCATGAAACGACCCTCAAGCAGCCTGACACAATCAATACAGTTGGCCGACACGTATGAGGTGAAACATGTGGCCGTGCTCGGGATTGTCCATGGACTGTGTCGGCTACCAGAAGCATTGTTTCTGATGCTGGAGCCATTGACAAGACCTGGGGAGGTTAATCTGACTGATTCTGAGGTAGGCTGTTTAATGGTAAATTCAATTATTCTGCTGAAGCTTTTCGTTTACTGTACGAGAGTCTGGCGTACTCACACTAGAATTTGACAAACCAACTGCTTGGCGTCAGCTGATTGACGTAACAACTTGGTAACCTTGACCTGATAGGTCAAAGGTTCAATATGTGAACTCAGCATTTGGAAAAAAACCGCCTCTTGGATTGGGAGAGGGAATGATTTGGGGAAACTGTACTCTCATCATTCGGGTCTATGCCTATAACTTCAGCTTTGAGTTGAGGGGCTAGTCAACCCGTCTTTTGGTATGCACTTTACACCCACGAATTATAAGGTCATGCTTCTGGACATGGAGTTACTAAACACGCCACTTACAATCCAGGGGGAGACTCTTGAAGTTGCAAAGCGTTTTACGTATCTGATAAGTTGTATTAGTTCTCATTGCAGTGTGGCAGATGAGATCGGTGCACGAATCTGACAGTGTGACAGATGAGATCGGTGCACGAATCTGCAAGGCTCGCAGCACGTGTGCTAATTTGATACACCTATGGCGCCAAAGTGGGTATATCCCTGAATCTCGAGTGATGTGTGTGTCAAGCCACAGTGCGGGCTGTTTTTTTGGTATGGCTTAACCTGTTCCAGCCGCGGAACTGAGACGCCTCCAGGTGTTCGACAATCGTTGTCTCAGAACCATAGCTCATGTGGATTCGTGTCCATTGATTAGCAATTTGAAAGCGAGTTTTCGGTTGTGCTTCGGGAATATCCACTGAAGAATATGTCCAGCATTAGACGCTGTGTTGATTAGGCCGGGTATTCCGCACGCCGAATCATCGTTCGCCGAAGAGTGCTGTTTTTTGTGCCCACCTCAGAGTGGCTGACTTGGCAGGGTGGTATGAAGGAGATCACGAAAGGTTTGGATGCTGTCGGCGCTACTCGCCTTCAAGGATGGGGACCCTGTGATCCCTACTGCGCCTGGTTGGGAACATTGCAAGTTGTGGCTGCCAACCAGTGCTCTGCGTCATCAGTCAGGTTGGACTACTAACCCAGTCATATACTGGGATGTCTTTGCCTCATCTCAGCAAGCATTTCTCATCCAGTACTTACTCACCGCACCCAACACGGCCACCATATACCTATTAGTTTTTCAACCGTTCCACAGAACGCCAGTGTGATTCAATAACTTTCCATTTTTTATTTTATGAGGTAGTTATTTCCAAGGCTGAGCTCATTTGGTGAGACTCAGTTATCTATTTTCGTGAACGAAACTACTCGTAAAGGTACTGAAAACGATAGACCTTGTTCTTCTTGGAGCTAATGAGATAGACACAGTCCCCGAGTTTCCAGTCAGTCAAACGTATGTTCTGCTTTGACCCAAATTGCACGAAATTTGACAGTTACACTTGCTGGCATACCAATTTAGTTTTCAACGGAAACCCACCAGCTGAACCGTTCGTGTATGATACTGCAATATCTCGCGTGTCATGCAGACTGAAACATGAGGTGACCCTTGTGCAGTAAATTCAGAGGGAGAATATTTTATACGATACGTTCAACTGTAATTCAGGTGAGTTTCCGGTAAAATCCCAACTGATGGGTAAATGAGTGTATTTGTCAAACTCTCTGATCAAGTTTAACACATGCGCACCAAGGTCTTCAAGCTGACAGGTTCATAAACACAATTTTGCTGTGCCGAAACGAGAATTGAGTGTATTTGTCAAACTCTCTGATCAAGCTTGACACATGCTCACCAAGGCTTCCAACCTGATAGGTCTATAAGCTTGATTTCGGTGTGTCGAAATGAGAACGCCGAACTGTACAGAAAACGGTATAGATCGGGATCCCAAGAGGAACTGATCATAGTTCATAGGAAATTTGTAAATCCTTCGAATACTTTGATGTCTTTGTTCTTTCAGACCGCTGAATTTCTGAAAACGTTCATTCACGGACTAAATAGCAGTTTAGAAACAGGAGTTTACAAACGTTCAAATGAATGGAACAGTACAGACGTCAGTAAAAGAGTGAATACAAAGTACCGTTTGCAACTATCATAAAGTTAGAAGACGGGGAATCGAAATAGTTTGTCTTGCTAGGGTTCACGGTTTTATCCATCTGCTGTGTCAGATGTTAAAAATATTTGGGCTGTTTGCAGTCAGATTAATAAAAATTATGCTTTCAAGAGTAGTGCGTCCATCATCTGCGTGCATCGTCTAAAGATCACGTCACCTTGTGTGCCGTTGTCCGATTCAGCCAAGCTTAATCTAAGCGGAGCTGTAGCCTCTAATTTATGGGTTCCCGGCTTAAAATTGCGGGCCTGATTCTTTGGCCCTGGGTTCTCCCTTGTCTCATCTGGTTCTCAGACAGTTGCGTGTCACCCCTTAAGGAGTTTCTCAGCATCAACGATGTGTCTTGGAGAGAATTGGCACGGCACGAGTACGTTGATACGATGTTGGATTCCAGATACTGACAACCGTTGTCTTTGAGTTCAAAAACTCGGCTCCACATGTGCATCATTTGGGTAGGTCGTCAACTCAATGAAGAAACATTCAGAGCCACAGGCACAGGAACGCGCTTTGGCGTTGATTAACAGCAAACAACACAGCAGAATACACGCGACTGTGTGATACAGAGACCACGGAGTATGATAACTAGCATGAACGCATATCAGGAGCGCTCATTCGTATGATGCAGGTAGCAGGGATGTCTCTGACATTTGAACTACAAAACGCGCCAGGTGGTGTTTCTTGATCAAACACACAAGTCAAAGGAATTCGGCGCACTGTTGCTTGATGTTTTGCTATTAGCTGGAGTCAGGTAGTTGGGGGAAACCATTTTTTGTTTGCTGAATGGGTTAAAAAAGCTCTCGAAAAATCATATTCGGTTCATTGTTTCTGGAAGAGTTGTGCAAGTCAAGAAAGAAATGATAGATTGATGCTTTGAAAATTAATCGCAGTTCGTAATTCATTGCTCGACTTTGAACAAGTTCTTTACTCCACCACTCATTGGAACTGTTATGCTCGTTGATCCGAGTGATCAGGTTACGTTGGCTAAGCCATTTGGACGACGATGGCAACGCTGAACAAGCTACCGAAAACAGTCCAATTTGGGTTCAAGTAGAACATAAGGTTGGCGGGAACTCGGGGACTGCGCCTACCTGATGAGCCCCAAGAAGGGTGAAACCGGTCGTGGGCTGTCGAAGAGTTTTCAGCAACCTTGTGAGTAGTTTCCTTTATGAAAATGTCCTGGACGTTGTTTGAATATCTGATAAATAAAGTAGGAATGCTTCGAAATGCGACCAGATATTAGTCGAGGGTTGATTCAGTAGCATACACTGTTACGCCAAATATTGGCCATGCTTCTGTGGTATAAGCAGCTCTCAGGTGGACAGAACGTGGTGCCTAATTTTCAAAGAAGAACTCGTGGGTTCGAACTTCTGAGCTGACGTGAACTCCGCACTGATAGATGTTTCCAACGATGAAACGATCTGCAGTTCCTCCGGGATATTCACAACAAATGGACTCTGAAACTTTACAGTCTTCCATATAAACAAACATGGAGCTGAACAAACCAAAGCATATATATGAACTACTGAATTGGATTGACCGATAAGTCGCTCACCAATCCAATAATTTGGAATTATCTTAGGTTACGAATGACGCTACCTCAGATTTTGTTGATGGTGTTCACTATCGAAGATGTCCCCCGTCGTTAGAACCCCATTTTGGCAACCCTTCAGGAAGCAACAGTTGGGACACTCTGCAAACTGATAAACTTGCGGGTCCAGCAGTCCCCCTTTCCAAGAAACCCCCAACCAAAAACAATATACAGGGAGTATTTCCGCAGCGTATGTTGGAATCTGGCAGTCGAACCGCAAAGGCAGGTAAACACAGGACTGAACCATACAAGTGATTTAATCTGTGGATTTACGTCACCAGACAGGGCGAAATTGATCGAGCAAATCTGCTTTGTGAAATGTGCGGAGATGGGAGTGTTGACAACCAGTTTGTGCATGAATTCAGATCACTCCGTTTTTCTTCAATCCGCAAATTGAGAGCAGCGGGAACTGTTCAGTGACTTCTACGGGAAACTGTTTCTCTCTCGTCCAAAAGTCGAGTTCCTGTATCCTTCAAAAGAAGGACAGAGTGAACGGGAGGTTGAAATTACGCAGGATGTTGAATATGTTCAACACTTTCTAGAAAACAAGAAAAACATCAGTTGATATTGGATGTTAAACTCAAGTCGTCAAAGGAAGGGACTGTCCATTCCCCAAACTGTAGGTGATGCACAGGAAATCGTTTATACCTGTGAAACTTTATGAAATATTAAAAATTAATAAATTCCATATAGCACTGAGTTTGTAAAGTCCATACAAAATGTGACAATGGCTAGAAGGCAACGTTCATAAACCTGCGTTAGATTTTGGCTTTATTTTAGTTTCGGTCTTGAGTTCTATGTAGCTTGAGCATGCATCTCACAAAAAAGGCATGAGCTTGATGACAGGTAATTTTGCAGTAATATTTGAGGTTTTGGAGGTTGTCATATCATCCAGACCTTTCTGTGTATGAGATTCATGGGCATTAGGTTAACTGAAAGATCACGAAATTGTTGCAAATTCTGCATCTTTCTAAAAAGTATGCAACTGGGCATATGTTGCTTTCTGTGAAATCGCTCAAATGCGCATCAAACTCGAGGACCACTTGCTTATTGAGTGCAGCGTTGGTTGAACTGCGAAACGTTTTCACTCTTTTTCTATACTTTTGAAGCGGAACCGTTTGATCGAACAGTGACCTATGTGGATCACGTGACAAGATTGATCGTCAGCTGATGAGGTCCGTCAACCGTGGATAACTTTTTTAAGAGTGAAATAAGTTGAAATCGCTATTACAAATCCAGTGATAGCCTATCTGTTGGAAGAGCTCGTTGTTTTCAAATGCTGGTTCCTTTTGGAATGTTGATCAAAATGTATTCATATATTATTTCACGTGTTCTTGCCTCTCCCAATAGTTGGAACTGGACGGAACGTGGCAACGGTACTTTATGATGCTTACAGCGCGCAACGTTGTCCAGGAGCTTTCAGATATACCGGCTGCGCTGATGCTCCCGATTTGTCTGGGTCTGAGCAAACATTTTCGGCGAAACTTTTGCGAACTGTTTGGCTGCCGTTATCGTCCAAAGCGTCGACGAGAACTTCATTTGATGGATTCTCCCGGTCGTGATCAAGAAAACAGAGAAGAATACCGTGAAGCCGAACACGTTCCATACTCGTCATGTGACCTAAGTGAACATGGGTCGATTCTGTCTCCAGACGCTTCACAACGCTACATTCCACTCGAAGCTATGAAACGACACGCCTCAACAAGCGCGATGGAGCCTAGCACTCCGTCACCCTACAACGATGGTAGACCACGATGGAAGTGGGGGCAAGGATGGACGTTACAAAATCAGCCATTTTTAGATCCACGTGATTCTTCGATTGGAAAGCCAACAACCTATCGCCAGACAGACACGCGATCAATAAGGCCAAGTCCTTATTGCGGAGAACATCCGGCTTGGCAGTCGACCAGGTTTATAAATGACACCTATGCACATTCCTGCGTTCTTCAACAAACGCCACCGTATCAAAGAAAAGCGTCGTCGGCACATGATTTGATGGGCAGTAGTTTTCATGAAAGCTTAGTGGATGATCAACAGGATGGAGAATGTGAGAGCCATGAAGTGGACTGGTATGAACCTCGTTCCTATGTTTAGTAATTGTTGCCCGTTTGCGGCACAGCAATGCGACCAATCAGGACTTTGATTTGAAATACACTGTCAGGCCAGTTTTTCAGTCGCCCGATCTCTTACACCCAAATACTCCTAAACTCGAAGCAACATGTCTTTTAACAATGGTTCTTGTTTTTCTCGTAAATTCAGAGCATCGTGACTGGAAACATTCAACACTCAACTGGGAAATCCAAGCTCTCTAGTTTGATTGGTTCTGAAGGAATCCACAGATAGGGCAGGATTCGGTATCTCCATACGGGACTTCGGAGCACAGTTACGGCAATCTTCTTGAATAAAAGACTCTTAGGAGAAAGGAACATTTTTACTTCTTGTGAAGGGGTTAACTATTTGGGTGGAGGCGGAATCCAATAGTATTCCAAGAGTGGAGTCTAGCCGAATAGTTGGTACTTCCTTGAATACTTCCTGGCGCTCATGCATCCAAGCTATTGCCTTCAATGCATAGCTCCCTTCCCAATCCCTCAATTAACAGTCCACCTATAGTACTATATTTACCCACTAATTTATCAGCTCCCACCTACAATGCACAGCTACTTACCCCACCACCCCGAAGCATCGGTGAACGAAACTGTGGCTGCTACAACCACTCTACGACAAGTACGTGGTTATCACAGCTGACAACGATGAGGATGATGATGATGGTGGTGGTGATGATACTTCCGTGATACTTACGTGGAAACAGACTACAACACCTCGCTCTCTCTCTCTCAGATGGATTGCTTTAAATCGCGACACGATGCAAGCACTTGCACCAAGTGAAGTGTACTTTACTGGAAGGAAGCTCTTTTCCGGAACTACTCAAGTGAGAAGAACTGCTGGTCGTAAGTTGAGTGAGGGTATCTCTGCTCCCATCTTTGTACTTCACACACGACATAGAAAATACCGGTAGAACAGGACGAATGTGATAGGTGAAACTGTCAAGGACTGATCAAAGAGGTGAGAGGATGTCACGGTACACCTGCAGTCCTTGGTTTTTCTCTCCTTTTGTCAGTAATCCCAAAATATCAGTAATAGGCTCGCTACCTGCTTAGTGTTCAGCCTTGCGGACTAAAATTTTTTAAAAACAACCGAATGACTGGATACCGCATTCTCTTCTATTTAAGGTAAGGTCCACTTGGAAAAATACTTTCACCTAAAAACTAAGTTAGTGCCAATGGTGAACTCGACTGAATCCCAAGTGAACCCCTCGTTCTTCATCTTACTGTGCTGCCCAAATGCCGCTCTAGTTTTAACCTCGTATGACTTTTAGGACATCGTAGTGTCTTGTCTAGCCGGAACACAGTACTTCTGAGGTTGTTGAATAGCTTTCGACGCTTCATTACTTGTTCCTTAGAATTCATCGAGTGTGCGCAGTCTCCGAGATTCTGTCAACTTCATCTTGCACTCGAACCCACAGTCCGCAAAACACGCTCACTGGAAATTAAGCTGTGTTAACTGAAGACTCAACTGGTTCCTAGCTAAATCGTCCTTTTATGGTAGGGCGAGACCCGTCGCGAGTTGCCCCAGAGTGTTCTGCTGCCTTATGAGTAGTGTGTCCCATCAAGAAAAAGAGTGCATTAAAAGTGTGTTGCCTATATAGGCTAGGCCAAAATTGCTGATAAATGACAAATGACAACTGCACAGCTGTGATTAGGACCAGAGAGTTCTTCGTAAGAAGCATCTGGCTACCAGTCTGATCATCAGAAGCTTCCATCCTTCCGAAGTTTCTTGACTCCAGTGCTACAGAGACGTTGGTTCTTGCGTAGCGGAATGGCGGCAAAAAAGTCACATGACTTTACGGTCCACAGTGGGAAGAGCACGACTTCAGCTTGGAGTTTCTCATTTGACGCGTACAAACTCTTTTGTGATGTCGTATACGTTTTCATCTAAGATATCAGGTGAAATTAGCAGCTTGTTTTCGGATAAGAGTTCAAATTTCGAAGGGGTAGAATGTCATCTAAGGATGCCGTACGAGGGTCATTCTTTGACGAGTCAGGGAGCTTCAAGTGTCAACTTTGTGTGCTGTGACAATCGCCGTTCTTACGTAAAAGGCAAATCCTTGAGATTACCAAACCGTGGGAGGTCATCGGGATGTAAACGAACGGAAATTGCAGCACCAGCATTGGCTTAGAATTGGAACGGAACAAGTTCATCTTGAAGATGTCATTGATATGAAAGCGTTTTGTCAAGCAATTTTTAGAGCTCTGTCTGTTTTTATCAGCCCTAATCACAAGACTTTATGCACTTCTACATTCTATATTTTATTGACGATGGCTCCAAATTTGACTACTTAAGTACTGTTTTTTTGTAAGTGTCAGCTTTCGTGATCATGTTCCTCGCAAGCGTTCCTTCGCCTTGTTTGATTTGGTCAGTTTGGCTTTTAAAGTAGCTGATTTTGTGACTGCTTGATGTAGGTTTCACGACAGTTGACATACTTTTGCATCAGACATAACTGACGTTTTGTGTAGATTGTCCTGGTTAGTTCCACAAAAAGGAATTGTGTCGGACCAATCACAGGAGAAAGAAATGTTCGCGTCTTCCATATACAGCCGTGTCAACAAAAAATGAAGAGGCATCCGAAAATTAGCACTTTTAGTGTGGCTATGGTGTGGATGAACCCCAGTACGGGGGACATCAAAGCGCACTACAATGACCCGAGCAAACTCACTCACATGATAAGCGAAGCTTTTGTCTGAAGAGTTGTCAACCGAGAAGCTGGTCAGTACCCGACAATGCTGTGTGGTTCCTCCTTGATTGAGGGCTGAGCAATCCTATATATTGTCTAGTTGTAAGTGACACGCACTGCTGGTCAACCGCACATGGCTGGACTACTAACTGGGAAATTGCAAGTTCAAGGCCCTCTACTGGAGTTTCTTGAAACGCGCATTGCTGATGATTTCCAATAAGGACGAAACAGGTACACGGTGCTTCTCTGCCTCTCACCATAGATTGGTTTTCTTTTACACGATGAAATCCCAGTTGAGAAATGAGTTCTTGTCCTTATCCTTGTCTGACCAAAAATAAGGCTTCAGTTGACATACAAAGGCAAGAGTGGCAATCCACTCAATTTGAACTTTTGTGGGGCATTGAATAACCATGAGCATGCTACCCGCAACGTATAGAACGTCGAATAACTGTTTTCCGACTTTGACACCGAAAGTGGAGCAACTGAAATCTACTCGTCTTCAACTTTAGAGAGCACAATTCGTGGTCAGTGAAGCGGAGCAGATGAAGGACACGGGATGTGTGAGTTTCTCTTCAGTTCAACATCTAAAGACGGTACTTCTACAGCCGTTAGTGTCGAGCGTTGATCGAGAATAAACCTGGTGGAGTAGATGAACTGTTCAAAGCAAAGTAGAGTTTTGTTTAGAACGTTTAGCACTAGACAATCAAGCATCTTATAATGTTAAAAAAGGAACCAACTAAGTAGAGCATAAGGTTGACAGAAACTCGGGGACTGCGCCTACCTGATGAGTCCCAAGAAGAGCGAAATCGGTCGTGGGCTGTCGAAAAGTTTTCAGCAACCTTGTGAGTAGTATCCCTTAGGAACTAAATTCAGAGTGCCATGGTCGAGGGATACGGAACTGACGCTTGAAGTGTTCATCAAACTATTGACAAGTATACTTGACTTGTCGTGTTTAGATGAAAAGTATTCTTTTGGTATTCTCGTCTGGTCGTAACATATTTACACGAATTTATGATTCCCGCTAAGGTATTCAGCTAAACTATGAATCACTTGAGGGATCGCAGAGTGTGAGAACAGGGAACAGTGAGATCGTCGAAAATTTTCCACCTATTTATGACTTCAAGTTTAAACGAGTACCATCTGAAGTCGCACATATGCCATGATTACTTTGACAACCCTCCTACACAATCGTACTTTCTTTACAGAGTCCAGTCTTATCATAAAACCATTAAAATACTTATGTAAATGTAGGACTTCGTTTTGTACGCTTATTAGTCTGCAAGTAGTTCGGAGGAAGAATGGCATTCACATGACAATTTGTCACCAGAGGAGCCAGTCAACGCGTGTGACCACGTGATGTGGACCCAGACTAAGTGAGAATTAATGAGAATGTTGATTAGCTGTTAGTGATTGAGCGAGTCTACAGACTACCAGCTGCGAGGATGTTAGTTCAGAACGCTGTAGAGTTTTGTGAGGTACGCACTCTTGATGATTCTTAATAAGGATGAAACGGCTTTACAATATTCTCCGTTTTTCCAACAAAGATTGACCTCAAGGCCAGGGCGGACTAACGTGAAAGGTTGTTTTGTTGAAAGAAAAGCGCCAGCGGCTGGAGGCACAATGTATTTTTCTGCAAAACCCCTGCAGTCGAAATAAAAACTTTGACGTCAAAATGTTGCACTTCTTTGCGTATATGCGTAGACTGAAAACCCCCCTCATCTGCCGTCATTTTTTTGCGATTTGTTTTAATCGATGTCATTTGAAAATTATTGGCGCACATTCGGTATTGGCGCACATTCGGCTTTGAACTTCGTCTGTTATGGCTTCGGAAGTGGCTTGGTTGAGAAATTTGTGGGTGTATCGTTTTCATCCCTCACGGCATTTGAGAAGACCTTAATTGAATACATGAAGGATAACTTTGTGATATTTGTGCGTTCATCCAGTAATCGAAGCACCAACACTATTTTGCGTTACGAATGGGTGTACTACAAATGCAGCAGGCGCCCTCCAAGACAAACGGAAAGCCGTGGAGTCCGAAGGAGCTAGTAAGCCGAGCGTAATTTCTAATAAAACAAAAGTACGCGAAGCACCAGCTGTCCAGTGCGGTTTTGTCTACGGAGGCAAAGGAACCACATGTCAGTGACCTCTTATTTTCTGGAACACAATCACAAACTGCCAAAGTTTCTTTACGATCGGCCTCCAGTCAGTCAACGCCTAACCGAAAACGAGTTGGGCACATGCCAGGCCCTGCTGAGATATGGAACGCCGTCATCTGAGGTGTGGTAGTTTGTGGCGGATTAATTCGGAAAGATTCTTACAACTAAGGATTTACACAACTACCGCCGGAAGTGTCGACCGGTTATGTTGAGTAGGTGCCGAATGGTTGGGTTTTAATGTAGCAGATGACATGCCTTCGGTTCTGGCAAA